GACAGACAGCGGAAGACAGACAAACAGACAGACAGACAAACGGACTGACAGACAGGCAGACAGACAGCGGAAGACAGACAGACAAAAAAGACAAAGGCAGAAACAAACAAAAGCATATTTTACCTTCCAAAGTTCATGGAATTTGACATCTGGGTCTATGACTGGAGCACTTGAACGAGCTTGCAGCGGAATCTGGGATAAGGTTAATGAATACTATGATTGATTGTAACCAATAAAGTAACGTCCATTCTAGAAACCAGTATTCCAAGGATATCCTATCATGCATTTCCTTCCCAAGCCAAGAAAGGACCTAGACTATCCCATCATACATTTCGTCCAATAAAGTAACGTCCATTCTAGAAACCAGTATTCCAAGGATATCCTATCNCCCAAGCCAAGAAAGGACCTAGACTATCCCATCATACATTTCGTCCAATAAAGTAACGTCCATTCTAGAAACCAGTATTCCAAGGATATCCTATCACGCATTTCCTTCCCAAGCCAAGAAAGGACCTAGACTATCCCATCATACATTTCGTCCAATAAAGAAACGTCCATTCTAGACTTCAGTATTCCAAGGATATCCTATCATGCATTTCCTTCCCAAGCCAAGAAAAGACCTAGACTATCCCATCATACATTTCCTCCCCAAGCCAAGGAAGGGTCGGGGCTACCCCATCACGCATTTCACGTCAAAGACATGGAAGAACCCAGGGCTATCCAACGATGCATTTCGTGCCAAAAACGAGAATTTTTACCTTCCACTGGTTGAGACATTTTTTCCGCACCTCTACCTGATCGTAGGGACCCATTAGAGACCTGTCGGATATCGAAGAAAAGGAAATGTAAACGTTTTTATTTTTAACTGGGAACAGTTGTTGAAAACCTGATTAACAAGACGCTCTTGGAGCGTGCACTGGGTTGCCCAATGTGATGGTGTGCTAGAGCTTATTTAACACCTAATCTTTGCTAGTTATGTACCGCTATTTGGTAGGAGGGGAACTACTTTGGAATATCTATACATGGTTACTTTTGCGCAAGAATGCACAATTGGCGAGGAGACAAAAAAAAAAGGCATTTTACGACTGGGCTGCCACAGGCAACCCAGTAAAAAGTTTTGAATTTTCACCTTTTGAAAGGTCATGGATAATCTTAATGTATAGAAAAAACATGCCCAACTTCTAAAACTTGTTTTCCTCTTCTAAATGCCCGAATTTTGAGTGTTTTTTAATTTTGGAAAATCCGGAACCGTACATAGATGGAATGGACTGGACTTCGGTTGGCTGGATTGTACGGAACGTAGAGGTTTTTTTAAGCCGAATTTGAAGCTTTTATCCAATGATTTTTATCTTATTATAAATAACTAGTGATTCCATCCCGAAATTTTGCAATAATATAAGAATGCAAAAAAATGTTTTAGATCGTGGCATTGGTTAAAGTCCTGTGAAGCCGGTTAGCGGTAAAGGTTTTTCAAAGAACTATATATATCATGTGTCTATAGGTGACTCTATGGATAGTTACAGATATTTACGACTAATTTTCCTCCATTAAGATGCTATTGAGATAAATTGGATGTTATTTGGATGTGACTGGAATGGATTGGTTTTGACTGAAATGAATTGCAAGTGACAGGGCCTCAGTCAGTGACTAAATCTTGAATCACCAGTGGCGGATCCGGGGGGGTCGAAGGGGTCCACGGAACCCCCCTTGAAGGTTTGATCTTTTAGGWAATAGAAATATGTCTTATATAAATTTTAATAAAAAAATATTAGTAGTTTTGCGTTGGGTCGTGTTGTTATAGCTTGGTCCGTTACTAGATAATAAATTAAGTGATTAGAGCCAATTTTTTTGTCAAACATCGACTAAACTAAAGAGAATTATACACAGTTTAAGAAACGGAACCCCCTTTTGAAAAATCCTGGATCCGCCACTGATCACAAAAAAAGTTTTGCTTTTTCAACTTTTGAATGGCCATGGATAATGGTTGCTGATAGTGTCGAGACTTTTCTTATTATCAAAGATTCTTTAAATTATTAATATTTTACATTTCTATTATTCTACATATTATTTGGCATATTTCAACATGTCATTTGGATCTGAAAAAAACCCACATTTTCGGGGTATTCAACAAAGTTTAATAATTACGATTACAATATTGTACTTACGGATCTTGAACATATGCTCGCAATTTTCTCAAAGAGTTTGTTTGAACTTTACCTATCCTATAGAGAAAAAAGCATAAAAATATATGCTACTGTAGGTCACAAACAAAATAAACAATTGTCCCCTTCACAGTTTCCTGCGTCATCTTGAAAGGTAGCCGTGCCGTGTACACTACCTCACATCAATACCACTTCAGTCTAGGATGAACATCAACACTAGATGCACCACAACACCAGGTGGAGATAGTAACCAGGACCCAACATGTACA